ATGTTTTCTGGTTCTTCCGTTTCTTTCGATTCTCGGGTACATAGGCCCTCCGATGACAGGCATTTTGATGAAGCATACGTCGTACATTCCGCATCGCTATTACATTTTTCACCACTCTCATACAACGTGGTGTGCCATTTTTGCCCACCAAAATATATTCCAATTAAATTACATGGAAAAATCTTTCTTTTTCGATTCCAGCGATTATAAGCGTTGAAAATAAAAGGTTATGACCAACAGAAGCACAAGAAGGAAATTCCTATGTATTAAATTTTTACCTTGGATAATAATTGCAAGTAATAAATTGTAAGTAGTATGGATGTTGGGGATATTCACAAGATGATACTCCACAGCCAATTTCTGTCGTGCGCGCCGTTATTAACTGAAATGAAATGTGTGGGTCAACTTAAAAATTACAGATGAATGTTATTTTGCTTAAAAATTGTTTCTTATATCTTTTGTTCATGTTATTGGTTTTAAAAATGCATTTTTGCAGAAATGAAATTATTTTGCATGTAACGCTAATCTAATGCTAGCCTCGCGTGATTGAATGCAGATTAGTGGTAACGTCGTCGCAACAATGCAAGCTCTGGTATGCCTCATTCCTTGAAGGATTTGGTAGATATTTTTACATTTATAGATACTTATGATAAGTGGTAAAATGAGACTCAATGGAGAGATGGATTGATAAGACCGGGAAAGAATTTGAATGCAAATATATTTTAGCTTTATATGGGATACGATGATGGGAAACGGAAAGTTGTTGTTTTGCTTGCAGGCATTAGTGGGACTGAATCATGGAAACGACTAGCCCTCGCAGTGTGCCAGGCAATATTTTGCATCGTCTGAAGAAAAGGAATGAATGAAACCTGCGCTAAATTTTCATTCGAAGAATTGATATATTTCCCCGTTAATAAACTTGTTTCTCCCATTGGTTTACTTTTTAACCACTCATCCTTAGCAAAAAGCAAGTGAATCGACCCAATTACCCATTTTGCTGATGAAAGGCTCTAGACTAATGCGAATAAGTCGTTTACGAATGCGTCTTAACACGCCTGCATTCATAAACTATTAATGGACGGCCAGCTTTCATAATAATAATTATATTTTCACAAGCTTTCTACCATTGACAAGGCCGTTTATTACTATTTACCAGGTTTTGTGGTAATTGATGTCATGTCGTGGCCAAAGCTTATTATGAGCTTGGACAGTAAATAAAAGACAGAGAATATTCTCGCATACAGATATATTATAAGGTCGAAAGGATTGTAAAGGCAATGACGATCGAATGACGTCAGATCTGCCCTGCAACATTGGTGCTTATCGTATTAGATAACCAACCAGTTTTTTATTCCACCAACCATTTCTGTTTACAAGTGGGGCGAAGGGGCAAAGATAAAAGTTAACTTTTTATCGCATTATAAAAACCACGAGAAATCTTCTCGAATGCGGCTCACCAAAAAAGTAGTAAAATTAGTGTCAACAGATTTTTCAGAAATACGAAAATTTCTTTATAATAAATTTGTGTAAAAAAATTGTGAAGATTTCCTCGATTAAAAGCCCACCTGTAGGATTGTTGTCAAAAGTCCATTTCGAAAACAAACTTTCACCAACGCCATCGCCATAAAAATGCTTGTGGAAATATTCCGAGTGATCATATTTGCATTTCTCCACGTGTTTCTGAGCCAGCTTTTCCAACGTACAATTCCATCTCTTCAATTCCAATTAGAATAAAATGCAGCCAAAAAAAATCAGAATAGAAATCACCAACCACTGCCAATCACTGTATTGGTTATTATAGATTATAAAATTCCTCTGAAAATTTGCAAACTTTTGTAAATAATAACCAGTTTGTACATCTCCTTGGCTGCTGGATACGTTCCATCTGATGTCGAGAACTGGCCCATAGCAACTTTCGTCCGAATGTCATTAAGCTTCTTCAAAATATTTTCTCGACCAGCCGAAGTAATCTTCGATGCAGAACATGAACTATCTGATGAAGAAACAAAATTTAGAGATGTGCTTTATGGAAATTCCAAAAAAAAATCATAAGATGACAATGTGGAGCAATTAGGTGAACGTTAAGACCCATGATAATTGTTTGTAAAAAGATAAATAAATAATTCGATTAATTAGCGAAAATATTGTAAAGTTCGTTTTGATATTGCACCTATTTTTCCTACACCACTTTTTCGTATTCGAATTCTTTCTCACCAGGCTTTTCAATTTCCTCTGGCATTATCGTTTCATCTTCAGTGTGTTCTTCGCTTGGCATTTCGGTTTCCTCATGGCTTATAAGTTCTTCTTCAGGCTCTTCGCTTGGAGTTTCATCATCATGAGTCGCTTCAGCGGGTTTATCACCAGCAGCACAAAGACCATTACCATTACATACTCTGCCATAATCCGGACACTTGCTACATGGTTCACCTTCTTCATAGATTGTCTTATCCCAGTTTCCTCTGAAATTCACATTTTATTCAATATTGAGACTTATTTGTTGATAAAAAATAAAAAATACCTTGGGCCATAATGGCAAACGACATGAACCATAAATGGGTATCCATTATTATTGTGGCATTTGGCCATTCCACAGCCAAGTTTGCTTGTGATTGCCCACGCCATCTTAAAAAAATCTAATAATCAGAATCATAACAATATAGTAAAAACTTTATAGCCTTTCTTTCTTGAATGTAATGTGCATAATATGTATAATATGTGTATAGTTTATCCTAATTTTATTGAAGAATCAAAGATTTAAGTGCCAGTAAAGTGGGACTATAAAAAATTTCTCGCAACTTTCTGAAAGGTAACCTGAGTAAAATGCAAAACACTTCCTGGAGTACCATCCATAGTAGAATGTGCTGGCATATCTTTTATTTCCTCCCACCACCATCCTTCTATCGCATCTTCGAATTGTTTTTTATCTAAAGAGAATTATTTAGTCAATAAGGCGTTTTAGCTTCAGATTAGAATCATTCATCAATTATTTTGGTTCTAATGATAATAGAGTCATTTAGTGATAACTTTATTAAAAGGGTTCTTTTGTTATTATTGCACAAAATTTCTGCTTATTAGAAACAATATATTTTATACAACTGGAAGAGCAAAAAATTTCAATGAACGAATTATTTCGAAATAACAATTACCTAATTTCGGTTCTTCATATCCCCATCTGGCATACAAATTCTCACCGCTATAATTACGGAATTCTTGCGTTGAATGCTCGAAATCGCAATATTCAGCCCACTGTTGCGCTCTTTCTTCCAGGCCGCAGTCCCACTCCTGAATGTTATTGTAATTCATTCAGTAAGCTCAGAGCAACTGAAACGCCGTTATCTGCATTTTCGTCAATAAAAAAATTTTGATATGGTGTATCTAACCAATTCATGCATGTTCGAACTTCTTGGCATAAGTCCGTTCGATTTCGCTTTTGCTTCACCGTTTGCTAACTGCGATCTAAGCTTATTGTGTTCCTTTAATACATACGATCGCATTTCTTCAGTAATTTTTGAAGCAGGACATTTCGATGCCATAAGTCCACCTTAATTTTCCTTCATATTAAAAGTTCCTTTTTCCATTCCAATTCCTTCTCGCTTAGTACGATAGTGCGATTTTAGGAAAAAGATAATTGAGAAAAGTTGATTGCCGAAAGAAATTTTAAGAAATTTTAACGGGCTCACCGATTTGCAATAAAATAAATACCACTGCCAATAGCATATTGAAGCTCATCGACAGAATATTCTCCGAAAAAGATTTTTTGGATTTCGAAGCGATTTTCTCGTCTTATAAAGAATCTGAAACGTGGAAAATAGAAATAAAATATACCCAAATATCAAAAATCGTTTAGTGAAGTTAATTTTTGTTTCATTTTGGTTCATTCGTTAAAAAAGTTAGACCGTTGATATATTTTGAAAAGTTTTTTCCCTGGAAATAATGGTTTTATAAAGAATCTGAATCTAAAGCCATGCAGAAAGCGTTTACTGAATTTTTTTTATTTTTGGTTTCATCGCTTAAAAAAATAGTGTTTTTGATTTGTTTGATTGTTCTTGAAAATAATGGTATGGAATAATGGAAAATAATGGTACAATAATGGTTTCCCAACATTTCATGAAAAAAAAACGAAAAATTGGTTTTTAAAATTTTGTTTGAAAATATACAGAAATTCAGAAGCAGGTGGAATTCTCGTTCGATTGTACGATTTACAGTATTTTAATTTTTAATTTCAACTTAAATCTTAAATTTTTATATTAGCTTTAAACTTTTATTTCAATTATGTGAAACTGTCCATATTTTAGAATAAAATTATAAACTTATATTATTATTAAAAATTATAGATAGTAAATAACTTATAAATAACAATTCATATATTTCTGGATTCTAAGTAATGGGAACGAAATAAAGGCGAATTTGGATTCCTACCCATAAAACTTTCCTTGCAGTAGCTTCATTCTCTAGCGAGAAGATTTTTATGTTGCATTCTGCTTGATCGCCACTGATTTTTTACAAACTCATAAAGTATTGCTCTTTCGCGTCTTTTCTGTCATCTCATGCATTTGTCACCAGTTAATAGGTTGTATCATCTTCAGATGGCATTAACAATTCTCCTTCGCCATATTGCATTTTTTAAATTATTCCAATTTGTAGAAAAATGGTAAGAACTTCAAATTTACGAAAAAATTCCTTTTTTTTCAATTCTCCTCCAATATTTTCCTGCAAAACTTTCTTTTTACATTAAAAAAATTTTTGTATAATATAAAAAAATTTCGAATGCTACATATGATATCATCTATATCCATACATTTCCACTTTTTTTCCACTTTTCCTCATTCATGTGATATTTAATCATCGTTTTGATAATAAAATCAAGTTTTTTTAATAAATGGAAATTTGCGGACTTTAATTAAATTGAAAACCGCCTTTTGTTATTGTGTTATTAAAATGAAATGTTGCAAATAGTTCTATTGTTTTGCCATAAAATTGGACATTCATGTGGCAAGAAGAACATGGTGCGCCGCAATTATCTGGCTTTACTGGAGCCAAGTCTGAAATAAAATCATTTATACGTACAGCTTGGTATTGGTCTTTTAAGCAAACTGATATCCAATTATTCAAGCCGTCTGTTGTGCCATTATGCTCAAGAATCTAAGAAATGAGAGAATCTATTAATTCCTCTTTTTTTAACAGCACTCTCCGTTACTGGTTAGGCTGGCTCCAATGGCTAAGCAAGACGCTTTCAAGCGGAGTGTTTTGACGCCGTTATTGGTAAATAGAAGCCATTTCTTTTTCCATCGTCTAAGTCCATATATTGCTGGTCCACTTACATCTTCAAAATCTATCCTGACCATATTAGTCCAGGTCTTGACTGGTCCTCCTCGCTTTTAAAGCCACCCATCACACGGTTTAGCAAATAACGAAATGTGCGTGAACTCCTGTGATGGACGACAGAGAGCGTGCCTTAAACAGCGAAGGCGACGCTGTGAAAAAACATTATTAATGCATATTGTGTTTGAAGTAAGAACTAAGATGAATGCGGTCATATGCTATTTTACCCGCTCGACGGATCCGTAAAATGTAGCGACATTGAATTTAGAAAAAAAAAGCATTTTATCTTCTTCAGCACGTAAGACGAAAAGAGTTTCGTTTTATTAACATGGGCACTGAGTTCGAATCTTTATGACGCGTTATTTAGCACTGCTTGCATTTCGATGTAATTATCAGCAAAAAGGGCTACGTCCTCAGGTATTCAAAACCTATGATACGATGCTCTGGACTGATTTGGGCACCCTTGAGTGCCGACAAACGGTATCCATAACGCAGTTTATCGTATAGTTGAATATTGCAGAGGAGGACACAACCATACCAGTTCTTATTTCGAAGGAGTCTGCCAGTTCCCCATATACACATACTTGCGCCGACGTACGCTCATAAAATGCCTTTATGAGTCGAATGATCTTCTCTTGAGCACCGTCGCCTTCCATCACCCTGCAAGCGCCGCTCTATCAATTGAGTCGAAGGTAGCCACAAAGTCGATGAAGCACATGACAGTGCGTTACAAATATCTAAAGCGATGTCCAGACCCTTCTTAAAGAGCACGTCCGCGTTCCGATCTGAATCCAGCTTTATTGAGGCTTATCCTGCTGCTCCCTACTTCCAAATTGTGTGGAGTGTAATGGAAACTGATGGAAGGGATGTAGACCAATTCTAGTAGGTTAATTCCTTAACAATTGTCACACGTTCCCTCACCTTTCTAGGAATTGGACGAAGAATTGCTTACCTCCAGTATTCTCGTGCTATTTCCTTTTGCTATATTAGAGAATAGAATACATTTGTTGAAGATGAGCTATAAACGATGATGAACAAAATTTGAAGAATTCAACCCGAATTCAACACCGTTTTCTCCCGGAGTCTTATTGGCCTTTAGCTTATGGATTATTTCTTCTTCTGTTGGAGGCTCGCACAGTTGCAAGGTTCGTCTAATGTATCAGCTATTGTTGTGGAGGGATTAGATTATTGGGAATGGATTGGCGATGTTTATTATAAGAGGTTGGAGAATTTAAAATTAATTCGGGAGGGATGTGGTTTTTCCGTTGATGGTCTAATGATTTTTCGTCGTGTCCAAGCAGGCTAAGGCATTTTTATTTTTATTACGATATCAATTATAAAATAATAAACGTTCAGAATAAAATTTGAAGTTATAAAAGAAAAAAAAGAGGAGGACAAAAGAAAATAGGGTAGATGACTTCAGTCTATTCCCGTAACTTTGATCTATTTTAGACATATATATTATATATATTTAGTGAGATTCGCATGCTGCGCGTAATTAACAGATACGTATTACAAAAACCTAAGTTATTTGATTATGCCTTAATAGATGTGAGGTTTTGTATGCTAAATTAGTTTTTTTTGGGTATACAAAAAAGGAATTGGTATTCAAGATGAGTAAGCAGATTCAGCAGCATTTATTTGATGAATTTAGTTTATATATACTGCAAATATAGTTTATATATACTGCGTTCGCTATTTGCGATAGCTATATCAGGAGCAACAGATGGCGATTCATGGTAGAGTTGGCCTCAAAGAATTCTTTCCATCTCATAAGGCATTCCTTAACACTTAATTAACATGCAATTGCTATGCCTTCTCACTGATCGTTCATTGAGTCATAGTTGAAGAAGGCGGGATGGCTTTCTCTTAATGCCTAATCGAGCCACCCTCCATTCTCAAGACCATGTCACTCCATTAGTGATTTCTCTCGCCGTGCTGTTTTCGTTGCAAATCTTCGAAGTATCCGGTAATCAAGATTACCTGAAATTCGCGCTTTGGTAGTTTTTTCAGAAAATTGGATACCCAATTGCTCCCAGTACCCGACTGGCGCACTTCCTATTAAGCCTAGCGTGAAAGTGGTTGACCTTCGAAGACATTCCTTTAGTTTGGACCAGTACTCATTTGCAATTCCAGAAATGTCATTGATATTTGAATCGTTGAGATGACTCAACAATTCGGTTTGAAATGCGCTCAATGCCCCGGAGTTTTTTAGTTTGAGATAGTTTTCGGCGAGTTGTCAATTTTATGCAGATCTTGGCTCGAATCATAACATGATCAGATCCATGAAGATTGCCCGTTTTGGCGGAACGACTATCTAGTATGGAACTCTTCCAATGGCTGATTAAGATATAATCAATCTGGTTGAAATGTTGGTTATCCGGGGAAATTCACGTGATTTCACAATCTCCATTGTTTTCTACGATGTCGAATGCACGTATAAGTAACAAACAATTTATGCTCTTCTGCAAAACGAAGAAGGCGTGTGGCGCATCCTCTATTGGCGCACCGATCTCCGATGCCATATTTGCCAGTAGTCATTGCAGCGGCATTATAACCTATGCGCCCATTCCAGTCCCTCCTTCCCTCCTCACCAATTATGACCATATCGTATTTCGGTGGAGACTTTGTTAGCAGTTGAAATTCTGCATAGAACTTATCTTTATCACAGTCATCTGCCAATAGAGTAGAAACACACTGATGACCGAGATATTGCAGAACTTACCCTTAAAACGGCCATACGCCATACGGTCTCCACTCAATCAAAGCATAATGGGCCTTGTCAGACATGATAATCGCTACTCCATTTCGACCACGAGTTATCTGCACAATGATATAGCCAGTATATATCTTTGTTCGGAGCCAGGATTAGTAATTTCTCGAGACCCAAAATGAGGAAAACGGACCTCCGACAAGCAGGCTATATCCACACGATATTTAGATAGGGTGTGGACAGTGATCGCTTAACTCGCAACGTCCATAAGCGTTCTGACGCTCAACGTTGATACGGCTAATACCTCGCGTGCCGGGGGCCTGTTTCCCTTGATAATTACTCGTATCGAGTAATTACCCTTGCTTGCGAGTATATTTCATTTATCAACCTCGATGTCGCTCTACGCACGAATTGTGTACTTATCGCATGCACCACCAAGAATAAGAGTATCATGCGCGTCGGAAGACGCGGACACCGTATCAATAATTCCTGGCTTTT